GCTCAATAATGTTATTGTGACCAATGGTGTTTTTTTCTTGCTTTGCTGCGGGTGGCGATGTTTCATTTGCATTCATTTGCAAGTGTTTTTTCACCTGTTCAATGGCCCAATTCAGTGCCCCGCAGGACATCTCAGAGGTTCACCCATCCATCAAGGGTGGTGACATTTGGCCCAAGATGCGCACCATGAAGCAGCAGGACTGGTCAAGAGACAACCCAGGTATACTTACAGTAGACTTAATGACATATATATATATATGTGGCTTATGCAAGTTTCAAGGCATCCGTCGGATTGTCAGCAACAGCGGCAGATCAAATTCGACTGACTTTGTGTCCCAGGACCTCTACGACATGTCTGCCTACATCCTGTACCAGAACCAGACTATCCCAGAGAAGTGGGGTGGCGGAAAGGTCTACTACTGAGCCTGGAGAGGAAAGTCAGAATAGACAAATTTTTTGAGCTAAAGGAAAGCACGAAGAGCGTGCGAGAGATGTCCAGTAGCTTCAACCAAGCCGCAAAAGGCTCAAAAGTCGCAGGCTCGAACTGTCATTATTATGATGTTTGCTGCAAACAGCTGGCAAGGCGCATTGTTTGGTGGAGTCGGTGCTGTGTTTTTTGTCAGATGGCAGACGCATCATTGCAAATTGAGTCAGGAATAAATATATTATATAGTCAAGAGAATCAAAGTATATAGACTCTTGATTAATAAACCCCCCATATGAAGATGATTTTCCACTTCAAATGGTGGGGTTATAAATCAAGAGTCTACAATATTCTGAGTTTGGCCCATGACCTCGGATGCCTTCTTCAGCTCCAGCTGACCTTGTCTTAGATACTCTAGGCTGTGAGGTTCGCTGCGTTTTTTTGGGAACCATGGCCAACTGCGGCTCGCTGCTCTTGGCCTGCTGCCTGGGGATGGCATCCATGCACCTGGTCTTTGTCGCCCAGGGCTCGATGGGATCTGCTGCCCCGCAGACCCCCAACCAGGCCACAGGCACTCAACTGCCAGGAGCACCGGGCCTGGAGGAGAATGGCGTGGCCCAGACCGCCCTGCGCTTCGGCGGCGGCCTGGTGCTTGGCTTGGTGCTGTTGGCTTGCGGAAAGCCAAGCTTTGCTGATGTGGAGGATGTGGTGATCCCAGTGCCCCAGCTCAAAAAGTTGTACTGTAGGTATTTTAATCTATGTATAGCGTATGTGTGAATGACGGGAATGGAACCCATTGAGTGAGCATTAGAGTCTAGTCTACATATCAATCCACCAATTGAAATAAAGGTTGAATGGCATTTGCAGGTCGACGACAAGGGCAAGACCACCACCTTGACCAAGGAGCAGGTCGTTCGAGGCAAGCGATTGTTCATCGCCTCCTGCGCCTCCTGCCACGTCGGCGGCGGCACCCGCACCAACCAGAACGTTGGCCTTGCCATCGAGGAGCTGAGCGGTGCCACCCCAAACCGCGCCACTATCGAGGGCCTGGTCGACTACCTGAACAACCCCACCACCTACGATGGACTTAAGGCCTGGCAGAGTTGCTGATGGTAACGAGTTCCGTAGCCGCCTTGTGCGTCTCGCTCGCTTGTTTGGTTTCTTCGCTTCTGTTGGCTGTCTCGGCTGTGCAAACCAGGACATCTCAGAGGTTCACCCATCCATCAAGGGTGGTGACATTTGGCCCAAGATGCGCACCATGAAGCAGCAGGACACTTGTTGACAAATAAAAGATGTATCAGGCAGGTGCAGGGATTGTATCACACATATGTATACACTGATATGTACATAAGTTGCTTTTTCCTTCCTTGCGTGCGTGGTTGGTGGTTCTCACCTTGGCATCGGTCCCAGGACCTTTACGACATGTCTGCCTACATCCTGTACCAGAATCAGACCATCCCAGAGAAGTGGGGTGGAGGAAAGGTCTACTATTAAGATCAATCCTAGCTGGGCTCAAGGGCCCCCCGGCTCATTGGCCGTGGTTTTTCCCCACTCGCGTGGCAAAGCTGCCCTTGCACTGAGCGAGTGCCAGGCCCCCGCGCCGAGGAGACCAGCTGCGTTGAAGCTGCTTCGACGCACATGGCAAAAGGGGTGCTGCTTCGATGAGTTGCCATGGACTTCACTTTCGGTTCTACCCAGATGACGTGGTAGTTGCATTGAGTGACTTAGAGTGAGTCAAGATGAATAGATGTAATAGATGACAATCACTATAGAGATTCTAGAGCATGGCGGCTGGAACAGCTCAAGATCGGTTCTGGTGGTTGCATTTGTGAGTGTGACATCGTGTCCTTGAGCTTCTAGGCCGCGAAAGATTTTGGAAGGTTGGTTTGATACAAGCCAGTGCCAGTGGCATGCATACATGGTTTGAAAGAACACATGTTCTTGCTCTTTGGGCTTGGTAAGCTCCGGCTGGCTTTACGCAGAAGAGGCTGCAGAGTCTGCCGTGTTCTTTTTTTTGAACCATGGCCAACTACGCTTCGTTGCTTTTGGCCTGC